ATGATTTTACATTAGGTTTCCTTCCGTTATGTTCTATGAAATAGGCATAAAGGTACTGGATCACTTAAGCAATATTTGTGAAGTTCATATCAGTATTTTGATCTCTCTCTGCAATATGTCATGATGACAGATTTATTTTTTTAAATTAACTATATTAAATAGTTTTTTAAAAAACTAAGATGCTTGTAGCAGATGGTTTACTGAAAACTATCAAGTTTTGTGACAACCGTTCTTTCTAGAACCCATTGTAATACTAAAATATATATTCTATTTCTTCTGCACCCATGTTTTTGCATTCATAGCGAAAAGGAAGAACATTGAATTATTCTGTCATAATGGTTGTATGTACCAGAGCTAGTTGGGGATTTTCTGTTCCAACAAAAAAGTAAGTAAGTAAGTAAGTTTCCACAAAATCAAAATTTTCCAAAGGAAAGTTTCAATCTTGCTGAATATTTTTATTATTATTATTCAGAAAATATTTAGTTTCAGGTTAGTTTGACCCAAATTGAAACATTTTGGTTTGTTGAACTGAACTGAAATATTTTGTTTTGAGTTAGTTGGATATTAAACTGCGTCTGCCTGAGCTACCACAGTGCTTCATGGTAGTAGTTGTGTGGGTACTTCATGCCTTTGTTCTCTCTCCAAGGAGCTAGGCTCCTTGACAGGGCTCCATTTCCCATAATACAGTGCAGCTTCCCCTCTGAACAACCGATGTGATGCATTATGGGAGTCACATGGCTACAGTGCATCATGGGAGATGTAGTCTGGCCAGGGAGCCCAACTCTTAGGAAGAATAAAGGCATGTGACACCTGAACTTCAATTCTCATTAGGCACGATGGCACCATAGGTGGCATGTGGGACTGACTCTAAATAAAACATACTGATTTGGTTCAATACACTGGAATGAAACATATGGATTTAGGTATGCTGAAACATTTTATTTTGACAGAAATTGTTCAAACAAAATATTCAACACATGCAAAACAAATTTTTTTGGAACTTTTCATTTAGCTACATAGAACTTTATTCTAATAGTTTCCAGAGAGACACAACTTGGAAGGCTAAAATGTTACACATCAGACAGATATATTCATTGTAAGTGAATATGGCAGAGTATTTGTGAAAATTATTTGCAGAAACCTGATTCTAAGAATTATGCTCATGCAACTGGGCAGTCAGAAACAGGCCATGAGATCTACAAGTTTACTGAAATCAGCTCAAATTTCTGTTAGCAATGAACTGTTTGTAAATGAGTAACAGGTCATTAATTATATTTGTGGAGATTATTCAGCAAACAATTTTAAATAAATGCATTCAAGAAAATCATGTTCTGTTCATAGGCAATTAGTAAACAGAAAAAGAGGTTCATCTGATAAGTAGTTCATTACTATTTCTTTGCCCGTCTCTAGCCCTCAGCAGGGCCGGCTTCAGTGGTTTTGCCGCCCCAAGCGGCAAAAAAAAAAAAAAAAAGAACCGTGATCGATGGCACTTTGGCAGCTCTGCTGCCGCCGCTTCATTCTTCAGCGGCAATTCGGCGGCTGGTCCTTCCCTCCAAGAGGGACTGAGGGACCCACCGCCAAATTGCCGCCAAAGATCCGGACGTGCCGCCCCTCTCCGTTGGCCGCCCCAAGCACCTGTTTGCTGCGCTGGTGCCTGGAGCCGGCCCTGGCCCTCAGATACACATATGCAACTGCTACAGATTTCAGTGGGAGTTTCAGTGTGTGCTTACATGAGGAAAGAGTTTGTCCTCCTGGGCTTGATCCTGCATAGACTGCCACACCCCAAACTCCCATTAAGACAATAGAAATTTTAAATGCACAAAAAATTCAGGACTGAGCTCTGATAGAGTGCTTTTGAAAATCCCTCCCTATGTTACCTAACTGTATTGACTTCAGTGGGAGCAGAGTTAGGCCAATGCTAAGTGCATTCGAAAACCCCATCTTAAGTGTATAAACCTTTATTAAAACTGTTAAATTCTCTGGATACAATGGGTCTGATCCTCAACTGGTGTAAATTGCTATAAAAGTCAATAGAGTTGCACTGATTTATACCTGCTCTGGGGTGCTGAGAGCCATTGAACCAAACTATAAACCCTTATGTGATGGAAACCACTTCAAGATGGGGTGCAGCAGCAGTCTAGTTTCAGCACCTAGGCACCTATTGAGGATTTGGCTACTTTTCTTGTCTTTGGAGAGGCACAGTAGGGACCTGACAGTGTTACCCTTACTCTCATTGCTCAGCATTTACTCACCTGACCAATCCTATTGAAGACAGAGGCCTGAGATGAGGGGAGTCTCACAAGGACAGTTAATCTTGCAAGATTTCTACCACTTGGGGTTGAAATATCACAATACCAGCTCACTAGATATCTCTGAGGGTGATCTTAAACTTAGCCCTGATTCAGACTTTAACTCAGCCCTAGCCCAAACCTAATCAGAATCAGGATCCAGCCCCTCCTCAGCCCCTCTTTAGTATAACTGTGTACTGATGGCAGATCCAGCACAGAGGGGCTGACCGAGTGCTTGATTTAGAAATTTACTGTTTTGTAAGAGATACTTGTGTGAACATCAGCGTAAGACACAGAATGCCAGTCCCCTAAATATAGTACAGTTTTGTCTGAGTCATATTGTTTCTACTGTGTGGGAGGGGTGTGAAGACATCCCACAGAATGGAGAAACACCGTCTTAATGTCTGTGGTTCCATTGCCCAGTGAGATGAATTTTTTTCTAAAGTCAGAATACAGCAGAAGTAGTAAAGGTATGTTCATTGTAAATAGATTCTAATTCTGTTGCAGCTTTCAGTGCAGGAAGTAGGCGTAGTGTTCACCACCCACTTCAAAAGCTGAAGTTAAGCCGGTTTGAAATGTATACAATGCTTAGCCAAATACTGAACTCTTTATACAAGAGGCAATATAGACATAGCTAAACATCCAATGTGAATTTGGAAGGACACTTTATTGCAGGGTAATCCCCAGGTTTATCAATGCAACTGAAACTCATTTTGAGAGTACAAAAATTTCTTCCATTAACAGTTGCTCTTGTGTTCAATTTATCTATTTTATTGTAATATAGTTCTGCTAATGCTACATGTTTGGAACTAGTGGTCAAAAACTATTTCTTTGAGCATGTTCACGTAATATTGCACGGCTGAAATCCTGGTCCCATTGGAGACAATGGAAGTTTTGCCATTGTCTTCAGTGGGGCCAGGATTTCGGTCTAAGTTTTGAAATAATTAGAGATGGGCCCAACTGACAAAGTTTGGGTTTGGATTTGACCTTCTCTAGAGTTTGAAAGAGATATTTAGATTTGGTGTTCTAAAAAATGACGTCTTTCTAACAACTGGATTTTGTTTTTACTCATTAGCCTTACTCTTTGAATGCAATCAGTTTCAAAGCTAGTTCACATTATCTTGACATGAATGAATCTTGGCAACTACAATGGGAGATTTGAGATAAGGATTTGAGAAATGGGCTCCCAACAAACAAAATTTCCTCTTTTTTAAAACACCCTCTAAGATCTAAGATCACTTTACTTTGTCTAAGGAGAATTTAACTTGTTCTCAATAAAAATGAGGCCTGTCTCCATCTCATTACTCTTGATCGGAGTGGGTATATTCCACATCAGATAGAGCTAAAACATGCCTTTCTTGTAAAATATGCTTTTGATGTCAGCCACGGCAAAATGTGTAGAAAAGTCAGGGGCTGATACTACAGCCCTTACACACATGAATCATCAGTCTTTTGTCTCAGTAGGCTACTCACATAAGTAAGAGCTGCAGGATCAGGCATTTTGTGTTTAGTGCAAATGAGAGATGAACTTTGCTTCTACAGATAATCCAGTAAAATCAAAAGCTTGTTAAATGTAATGGAATGCCAAATGAAACCCTGCTCTCCTCTTGGTTCTCCTTCTGGCCTTTAATTGCCAGGAAAGATTAGTCCTGTAAACACAACATTATATCCATGGCAACGTGCAAGTCAGTGTTTAACTTTGCAGCACATTAAAAGGTATATTTTAAAAAAAACACTTCTGCATTTTACAGCTTAGAATAGCAATTATGATTTCTAAATCAGGTATTTCCTAGCAGTTATTGACTGGCTGGGGTAAGGGCTTGACGCAAAACGCATTCTTTCAACTCCTTGTCATTGCTAGGAAATTCTCATATGTATTATTTCTTAAATATAGTCAGTGTTTCCCCTAGCAATACTGATCTGACTAGAAAAATATGGCAGGATCTAAATCCAACCTAGAGGTACAGCCTGGGCAATACGCATGTATCAGATTATAGCAAGAACTGTGCAGCCAGTATCCATGACCCGTGTGGGCTCTAGGCGCCTGCACAGGATGCAGTGCTCTTCTGTTAAGTCATCCTGATGTGAGGTTCTTGAACTCTACAGGAAGGTGCAATTTAATAAGTGTTGAGTCATACTAACAGATGGCTCTTGTTAGCTACCTCCAGGATATAAAGGGCAGCAATTGGAGTATCTAGCTCTGCATAGGTTGAACTAGAGTCTGGGACACAAGCTTACCAGGGAAAATCCTAGGAAGAGCCAAACTTGGGGAGAAAGCTTAGGCTTGTTTGTTTTCTGAGTTACCAATAAAGCCAACTCCAGAAAATGATGATTTTCAATTATATTCTCTGTGTTCTGTCTAGAGCCATGTGGGCATTACATTTGCTTACGTGGTTCAAAATGGAAAGATTTGTCTGTCTAGGGATGTATACTATGCTTATCACTGTGGTATATGAATGCTGTTCTAAATTCGGTGGCAGAGTCGGTCATAAGCATGGAAATGAGGCTGTTCTTCAGCTAGGTTTGGTTGCCCCTGTAGAGGGCTTTGAAGATCAGGACTGAAGCCTCGAAGTTGCCTCTCTTTAATGGGGGAGTGGAGTGAAGGAAGAAGTGCACTGCTGTGATGTACTCTCAGTGCTCTGTTTCACTGCCTAGACAAGTAGCTGCATTCTGAACCAATTAGAGCTCTCTAAATGTCAGTTTTTTCATTTCTAGGTACAGAGCAATGATTCAGCCTGGAGGTCAGGAGTGGATAGTGGACCACTATGACTACCTGTGAATCCAACAGGGTGAGTGGTGATGGAAGAGTATTTTTTTGCCGCCACAGCTATCTATATCCTGAAGCAATGTGGAGACAGTGGACTGGCTGGATGATCTGAGGACAGATGGTCATGATAGAGGGCACTTTTATCATGGAGACAAGCCCTGTGAAACATATCTCTATTCCTATCAGCCTGTCCCAGTTGCTCTTCCTCAAGGTGCTGATATTTGAGTCATTTGAAGAGCTGAGAAATGATACAAGACATACTTGATGTAAAGTGTTTTGTCACCCACGTATAGCTGACATTTGAGGCCATGTCATCTTACACTCTTCCCCTAGCGGCTTCATGTAGATGTTAACCAAGGTAGAAGAAAGGATGGATCCCTACAGGGTCCCATAGGAGACAGCTCTAAGAAGTAGTTGCTCATGATAGCATTCTGGATTTGGCCTAAGGAAAAGGACTGGAGCTATTTTAGTCTATCCCTTTAATCCCTGCTACATCCCTAATGTGGGATAGTAGCTTTTCAATATGAATGGTATCAGAAGTTGTGGAGAAATTCAGCGGTATGAGTGTGGATCCATACCCCTTTTCCAAGGACAACTGGAGGTCACTTATCAGCATAACCTGAAACCTGATTTGGCTAGTTCCCTCTGATACCAGCAGTGGACATAGTGACTTGGAGGGAGGGTCTAATGTGAAGCAGAGGGACTAACACCGAAGTTGTATAATATTATTTTCCCTGTGTGAAAACGTGGAAATTCAGCTACTATGATGTCACTCCTTCTTGGCAGTGCTGTACTCCTTTACTGGATGAGGAATAGACAGGGTGAGATCCAGAAGGGGCTTGGCCTCTTTTATTTACTGGAGGATGGGTTAAGTATCTCCAGCTGCTCTACTACTAGGCTGTTCTTTTGCTGGTGAGGGTCTAGAGAATATGTAACAGGGCCAGATCAGAAGAGACCCTTTGGAGCCTGATGCTGTAGTCACTATGCACACACAGCTTCCATTGACTTTGGTGGGACTTGTGCTCCTAAGTAACTCAGGCACTTTTGAAATTTCCACCCTTTAAACTTAGTAGCTTAAAGTTAGGCACCTATTTTTTGGGGGAAAAAAAGACCTTATTTATGAGAAGTGACTCGAAAGATCTGTGCCAGATATCTTCTTGTGAAACTCCGTTGGGTAAACTTCCCTGTTGTGTTATGATGCCCCGATAGGTGGAGCTTTGGTATGTTATGGGGACATTCACTCCTGCACAGAGGGCCAGCACAGGCTTGTTTAATATTTAAGCTCTGAGAATGCATTGATTTTGTGCTAGCCTTTTGCAAAGCAGTAAATTTCACCCTTAGTGCTCAGGAATGCAAAATTTCTTCTTGTGACAGTTTGATTGTCTCATTAGGCCTGATTGCACAGATCTTCCCACTTCGATGGTGAAAGGTGGAGAGAGGTGAGGAGGTGGCTGGTGTCGAAATGGTGTAATGACCTTCACTATAGAGAACAGTAGTAGCAGTAAATACAAAAGGGATTCTTTGCTGAGGCTTCTGGGCACACACTGATCCAGCATCTTCCTGGCTCTCTAGCTCACAGACCGATGAACACAGTTTCTGTTAAACAGTATTGCCACACTTGGTCTCTTCTACAGTCTTCCCCTGAATTGTGAAACACCCCTTTGTGGGTCTGCTGAGGCGTGCTGCCAGAAAGGGTCTAGGTGCTTGTGTGGAGGGACAGGAACTCAGAGTGGATGACCTTGGTGTCTGATGGATCGCCCATGATCTGAGAAGACCTCAGGAGTGTTTGAGGGCCCCTCTGTTCTAGTGGAAGAAACTCTGAGGGGAATCTCATGGGATTTTCCTCCCTGCACCCCAAGTGCCCTCTGGTAGTTTGCTCTGTGGTGGCTGGCTGCATTGAGAGGCTGTTTATACACTAGAGAACCTACAGTATATTATCTTGAATTTATTGGCGACTATCAATATTTAACTGTGAGTGTCAGAGGTAACATCTAGAATAACCTTTAGGCTGTTTACTCAAAACAGTAACCTGTCAGCCTCCAGCTTCCTGAGAGGGGTCATCATTTGGCAGGGACTAAGAAGAGCAAGTATCTTGACACGGAAATTAATGTGGGAGTGAGCATGATTGAAAACACATAGCATTGTGTAGAAGGTAATATTAATATATCTCTAACCTTTATATTAGATATATGGAAGCAATATCAATCTGCATATTTGGACAAAATGCGAGTATTCAGCGAGGTTGGGTGGAGAGGAAGTGTTTTATTTGATCTAAAAAACCAAAAACAGACAAACAACGGAAAACCCTCTTGGGCAGCCCTGATGTATTTGATTGGAGTAAAATCTTCCTGAAGTGTTAGGCTCTGAAATTTGTGCTGCATGTCACTCCAAAGGTAATTTTTCTTAGCTTTGTAGTGAGGTCTTAGATTTAATCTATGACTCTCTACCTCGCTAAACACTTAGGTCAAGATTTTTAAAAAGAGGTTAGACTCCTAAATTGCTGTCTAGATTTCAAAAAACATTTCCCATTGAAGTCAGTGGGAGCTGCTCAATGCCCAGGACTTCTGAAAACCAGGACACTAATTTAGGAGCATTATGTTAAGCTCTTATTAAAAAAAATAAAAAATCTTGTCCCTAAGTGATCACTATATGCGTAATCGAAGGCAGACTAATTCATGGTTTAGTTGTAGATTTGTTAGAATTTTGTAAATGTACAAGAATAAACCAAATTAGAACTCTTTAATTTCTAAATCTAACTTGTATTTACCTCCTTTCTGCTTAAGAAGTTGCCCTTGTTTTATTTACCTGTCTGTACATGAAGCTCAAAATAGCAGCAGTCCATTTAATGTATTTCTGGAGAATTCTTTAATTTGCTGGCACAAGGCTTCATTCCTGGGAGGTTTTAATAAAATACCTCACCTGATATGTATGTTACAAGCAAAGGAAAAAGTTTAAAATGTAGTGTTATTCCCTGCAAGATAGACCGATTTTGTGTGCTCTACCTAATAGACTGGTGCAGCTTCATCGAAAAAAATGCTTGTTGATTTTTGAAAGTATTTCTTCTATAACTTTGGAGTCATTTTGATGTCATTTACATGTGTATTGTGACACCTTAAAAAAAAATGGGGAAAAAATACATTTGTATTTAGAGCTGGTTGGAAATCATTTCTCCTTCCATGTGGAAAATTTAAAATTTTCATGAATAAACAAACAAAAACCCCTTCTAGTCAGAAATGTCGTGGTCATGTCCCATGAGAGCTGTCAATGGAGTACTTTGTGCACCTATTCTTCTCTATGGGCTGTGTTCCCTGGTTGGACTACACCTATGATGCATCATGCTTTCCCCTGTCATTCATCGGGGGAATCCCTGGCTGTAGGGTATTACAGAAAATGAAATCCAGCTGTGGATTGTAGCTCAGAGAGGAAAATGGGGGTATGAGGCACCTGAATTAAAGCTCCTGTTGGGCACCACAGCAGCATTTTTCATACACATTTTGTAGGTTTTTTTTGTCTGAAAACATTTCGGTTTTCAGGTGTTTGGTTTTTCAAAGCAAAGTCAAAATTTTCCACAGAAAACAGACACGGGGTGGGAGGGGGGGGGGGGAGGTTTTATTGAAAGCACAATTTTTCATAGAAAAACAGTTCAACAATTTTCAACTAGCCTGATTTGTAATCCGTTGCATTTTAGTAGTTCCAAAACAGTCTTTACAGTTTATGATATGCATTTTTTTAGCTGGCAAATTATTCATGTGAACTGTATCCTATGTAGGCACAATTACTACATAAATGGCACACTCCAGAGAAGCCACTATTATGAAACCCTGATTCTTCAGCTCCAAAAACCCGGATTTCTAACTATTGAGCAAAGGGAGAACTACTTTAGCTGATGGCAGTAGCAGGCCATTGTTCTCTCTATAGGGCCAATCACCAAAGTGCAACATCAGTCACTCTCACACACACACACAGCTCACACACACAACCCTCCCCCTTCATGAAGACGGGAGGAGTGTACCAAAATTGAGTCAGAGGAGTTACAACTGGTGCATGGGGGACACAATGCCACCCAAGTTTGGATTGTTGCAAAGCCACCACCCTGATATGGGGGCCCTGTGCAAGTGCACCAAGTGCACCTTGGTTAATCTGGGCCTGCTCCTTGGGAGCTGTCGGTTTTGTCTGGAAAGGCCATGCACTGCTGTAGCACAATATAAACCATTTTTTATGTGGATCATTATCCATTGGAACTAGACTAGGGTAAAATTTTCAAAAGCAAGCCTAAATCCTATTTCAGAAGTGATTCTGGAGCCTATTTCCCATTAACTTTCCATGAGTCTTAGACTCCTAAGTCACTTAAGCACTTCTGAAAATTTTACCCTGAGACCAAACATTTGCCAACTGGTGGTAATGCTTGATCAGTCATGACTGGATTTCAATGGAATTCAATGGGATTTCTGACATGGTTAGGGTTATGCAGTGTGCTGCAGTGTATTGCTGGAGTGGGGCTTTTAACAGCACTCATTTTGTTCCTCAGGCTGCCCTAAAGATACGTTTTCTGTATTCTGAAATGATGTGGCAGAAAGCAAAAAAGAATCTTCTGACTCATTAGGAAATAAACACAGGCATAATTACCATCTGCCTTTCAGTCCATTCAATCTATTCTCCAGTCATGGAAAAATGTTCATGAAAAAGTTGACGTCTGGCTCTGTGATGCTTCTGAGAGAAGCTAGTTTTATAAAAAAAAAATGCAGAAATAAAAAACAATCCTGACCCTATACGTTATGTTAGACAAAATGGATTAAATTTATGACACCCTACTCATCAAATTCTGACCTTGATTTGACCCCATTGGCTTTTTACTGTTTGTTGTTCTCAAAAAATTTGGTGCCACTTTTCCTCGGTGGGGCACTTAATTTTGAGTGTTAGATAGAGATCAATAGTCACAGCTTGAAATTGGCATCTTTGGAGGAAAAATATGTTGTGTGGTAGATTTGATAGTACTTCAGTTAAGAAAATGGTGTACTCTTTCATTATTGTTTTCCATGACAGTATCGAGTGTTATTTCATTCTCCTACCGAGATTCTGACAGTCTCTTGCACTATCTTATCTGTCAAAGAGTTTTCATTCCTATCCTTTCATGCTTGGCTTCTGGAGTGGAACTTTATTTAAGAGGTCCATGAAATTAGAAAGGATGGCCCTGGCACTAGCTATGCTATCAGCCTTGGTCACTCAGAAATGAGTCCCTTCAGTTCTAGAACTTCCCTGTGGTTCTCAGATCATCTAAATTGAAATATTAGTTAATCTGCTACCCATACAATATATGATCAGTTGGCAGGAGAAATCTCTTGAGCTTTGGGTAAAACTTACAATCTTCCTCCCCAAGGTGATTTCCTATTGTTTGATTGTGATGTAATGCAGAGAGATTTCTAGTAATTCCATCATCCTTAAAAAAATGCTATTAAATTTGTTTTTGATTATGATCATTGACAGAGGGAAATATTTCTCCTCTTCTCCTTCTTCCATTACTCATACAGAGAAAAAGGCATTTATAAACATTAGGCATTTATAAACATCAGAGACCCTGGTGATAGGGGTCATTGAATACCCAGATGGACAGAGATACAGGCCAGTGCTCATGTATTCTGCAGTCACAGAATTTACTAGGAATTCTCCCCTTGCTGCAGAGTTGTGCTCCAGATTCTGAGGCTTGGACTACATTTAAATGATATATTGCCATAGCTATGTTAGTCAGGGGTGTGAAAAAATACACCCACGTATTTATACTGAAACCTGCCCCCTTTCCCTCGCCCACAGTGTAGACACAGCTAGGCTGATGGAAGAGTGCTTCTGTCAATGTAACTAATGTCATTTGGGAAGAACATTTTCCTACAATGATGGAAAAACTTCTGTCAGGGTAGGCTGCAGCTACACTAGAGGCTATGCCAGCGCAGAGTCCAGAGTGTACGTATAGCCTATGCTTTCATTAAAAAATATTTTTCTAGCCATAATGGTTACAAAGAAAACCCTAAAAACATCAAATATAAGCCAATGCAGAGATGTTTTTCTGAGGGTATGTTTACACTATGAAGATTGTACCAGCATAGCTATGTGTAATGTAGATGTAGCCTGTACTGGCAGAAGGAGTTTTTCTGACTGATGTTAGCTGCATTGACAGAAGTGCTCTTCCATCAACTTAGCTGCATCTGCACTGGGGGCTATGTCTGCATAATTACATTCGTCATGGGGGTAGCTAGGCCAATATAACTTTCAAGTGTAGATCAAGCCTGAGTCTGCAGGCAGCCTGAAAAAAAAATAGCCCTAAGACATGTGAGCTGCCTCATTCATCTCAATGGGGTGTTGACTCTCTGAAACAAAAATATCATCATTATCAACTGTATCACCATTGATCATTTTAGAAAATCCAGATACTGTGCTTATCACATTGTTCTAACATGCCCTTTTCACCTTTTCAAATAGCAAAAGCCCCAAATGCTCCCTACCCACTACCAAAACCTCAAGTTTCTACTGTCATCTTCAGTTAAACGTTCTCCATACATAATCTTGCAACACAATGAAAACTCAAAAGTCAGGGACAGTAAATTCCGTTGAATCGGATATAAAACAGATAACACAGCTGCTGCCATATGGATTGTGTTTTTCATTGTCATATTTTATGCAATCCAATCTGAACATCAATCAAATTTGAACATCAATGAAACTGCTGCAGAATTGTCAATCTGCAGCACTAGGCTGCCAGAAAACCCAGAGAGTCTTGCCACAGAGTACTTGGGACTAGGTTATGGTTTATCTACACAAATTGTTGTTCTGCTTTTGGTTATTGATATCCCCCTCCATTGCTTTTCTCTTCCAGGCAGATCTACGAAACGAGCAGTAATGCATGCACTCTGAGCTCCTACACTCAGGGCCGGCTCCAGGCACCAGCAAAAGAAGCAGGTGCTGGGGGCGGCCAATAGAAAAGGGCGGCACTCCATCCGGTATTGAGGCGGCACACCTGGGTCTTCGGCGGCAATTCGGCGGCGAGTCCTTCACTACGTCTCTTCCTCTTCGGCGGCACTTCGTTTTTTTTTTTCCCCCCGCTGCTTGGGGCGGCAAAAAAGCTGCCTACACTCCACCTATAACCAAAAAACCAAGTTTCCTTTAAAGAAAAAAGGAAGGTAGTTTTCTTGTCAGAGAATTTGCACCAACTTTTATGAACTTTCAGAGCATTAAACTATTTAGCAAACTGAGAAAATATCATACAAGATGACCTGGCATACATGCCCCCTGCACTACTACTGTGAAGGAGACAGAAGGTGAAGGAGCTTCTTCAATAATGACTACAAAGGAAGATGAGAACATTCCACTCTATTGTGCAAGCAATGGGAGCATAGTTCCCACTCTGAGAGAATGTGGACTGAGACCAAGCCTTGGAGTCCGGAAAGATCATTATGAAAAGCAGTAACAATAGACAGAATTTACCACCTTCTGAAACTTTTGAACTCCAGGTTTTCAAGCCAAAGGTTTATTTTTAAGTAATGCAAAGCAAATCACAAGGGATGCACAACTGGAAGCAGTTGTAAATTGACTTTGCTGTGTAATTCATATATAGCTTGATCCTCCAAGATGCAGAGTGCCTCTTGTGAGACGTAAAGCACCCATAATGTTCCTGGACCATAATAGGAATTGAGAGTGCTCCAAACCTCATAAGAGCCACTCAGCACTTTGCAGGATTGGACCCTTATATAATCACTGTTGAAGTGCAAAAATTACTGAATGACAAGCTGTGAGGGGTTCATAGTGGTGCAGGTGAGGGCCTTTAAACCCAGTCAGTCATTAATCCGCGCTAAATACTCCCCATGCAGGTTGTTATTACTATTATAAAATAAAAGCAACAAGTTGTAATGATTTTTTAAAAAAATTGTTATGATGTTATAACTGGCAAGAACAGGGTATTTTTAGAGAGACAAGCTGGGTGAAGTAATATCTTTTATTGGACCAACTTCTGGTGTTGAAAGGGACATGCTTTCAAGCTCTTCTTCAGGTCACCTCGAAAGCCTGTTTCACTCACCATCAGAAGGTGGTCCAGTAAAAGATGTTAATGTGCTGTGCATTAATTAGGCAGTTAAATTGCTAGAATTATATCTGGATAATCATTGTCTATACCACCAGACTTCTTATTGCAGTCCAATGACATAGCCACCTCATTTCAGTTTGGGAAACTGGTGCTTTAAATTATGGGACATTCTGGTCAGGGAAAAACTTACTGTCATGAAACATCTCCAAAGTGATCAATATCAGTCTCTGGATATGCAGCTACTAATCATGGCAAATCTGAATCAGAAGCAGATTATTCACCTATTTTATTGTATACCACACTGATCTGTTCCACACTCATTTGTATCTTGATTGTTGTCAGCCTTTAGTAAGTTCAAGTGTTATCTCCAACACTTTGTCTGTTCTCCAAGACCGCATTAGTATAATTTTATCATTCAATTTGTATTTGAGATTCAAAAATATATAAACTGATTATGAAAAAAATCACACCCTAACAGACATATGTAATTAACACTTCAATATTGATCTAATATAATTTCAAGAGTCTGATCTTTTGAGGATTCTGTTCAAAAAGACAACTGTGAATGAAGGTATAATGGATGGATTTTGTCGGTATTCACCTCTTTTTCAGGGATGCTTCCTTTTTTATATACTCTGCGTCAGTCAGGATTACGAATTCCTACTCCCCACCAGCATTAGCCTCTGCAGGCTCCATAATTAAGAACGAAATACACAAAGTACAAACCATTTTTACACGTTGGGGAACAAACAGTTTAATGTCAGCTCACTTTTTATTGGCTCTTTTCTCCAAGCAGAGGTACTTGTGCTAATCAGAACAGCTAATGCCCCATATGTGAGATAGCTGCTTGGGGCCATTCCAGGACAATAAACAAAATGGGCCAGATTCTTAGCTGGTGTACATTAGTGTCTCACCATTGAATTCAAGGGAACTATGCCAATTTACCCCAATTGGCCCTATATTGCTAGCAAACAGAGGAAGTAATTTTGTATAACCAGCCATTGTTTGCATAGCTCAGCTTGAGGCTGATGTCCCGGATGGAGGAGGTTTCTATGCAGCAAAAGGAAGTGGAGAGAAGCAATAGCAATCAGAAATATTAGCCTCTTCCTCTTGTCTTTCCTTTGATAAGCTACCTCCAACGTGTCCCTGCGTCTGAATCCCCTCTTGGTTTCACAGCAGTGTAACTCCACAGACGTCAGTTGAGAGACCCTGGTGTAACTCAGCAGTAAGAGGATAATCAGGCCCCTAAGTCTGTAAACCTTTTTAGAGGAGCAAACTAAGCACCTTGATGCACAAAGCACAAAATCAAGGAGGCACCTCTGCAGAGATGGATTTGAGCTGGAGTAGTCAAGTACAGCATACTGCGCCTGTCACAGGAAGAAATAAGGACAGCGTGTGTAATGCAGAAAGTCAGGCCTCTGAAGTGTTAATATCCTGTCTCCTGCATTCTTTGCTACTCAGTCCCCAAAATGCACATGCAAGAAAAACGAGGAAGAGAAGTTTCTCTTGTCACCGTTTCTGGCATTTGAGTTCTGCAAACCTACTGGATCTCTGGAGCTGAGGAGCAGTTTCAGACTGGGGACGCAAGGGCCACTGAGTGTGTGGTCTGGGCACCACCAGCACCTCTAGCATCCAGGAGGACAGAGTAGACTTTTGTTCCTTCAAATATGGGATTAAGAAGTGCTGCTGGTACAGCTTCATGCTGTGATTCTCTGAAGCGCCCAGCTATCTCAGGGCTTGGACTGCCCTCCTGCCATTTGCCACTTCTGTCAGGTATTTGAATTTGGAGTGCTCTTCTGGTTTGCATTACAGGATGTCCATTCTTCCAGCAAGGAGCCTTCCCCCTCCTCTGGATAGATCTAAGTTCTCTTTGACCCAGGGCCCCTTCCAGCCAGGAATTAGGTCCATAGATCAATGGGATTTGTGCTTAATCTACACTGCTTTGAAGGGCTCTTCGGGGGTCTGCACAGGAAATTTCCCTGTAGCTCTGGGTGCCAGTCCAAGTCCACTGAGCAGAACATTGGAAATGTACCAACAATCAATCTTGCCTGTCAGACCGGGGGTTTTCAGTTGCTCAAATATAACAATATATGTACTTTCATACAGGAGCATATACAAGTGGCATACACTCCTGAGGAGCTCTATATGCAGGCTCCCTTCAGGGTCTATGCATACCTCATGCTCTTTATCATGTCACCAACAAACTCACAGAAATGATAAAGCCAAACAAACTTTTCACTTGGAGCCAAATCCTCAGGGGTGAGGGGCTCCTGCAATTCCTGTTCATGTCAATGGAAGTGGCAGGTGCTGAGTGTCACGGTTACAGAGCTAGTGCACCTCTGCCCCCTGTGTGGTCTCTCTGAGTCAAGGCCGGTGCAACCCATTAAGCGACCTAGGCGGTCGCCTAGGGCACTACAATTTGGGGGGCGGCGGGACCTTCCGCCACATCTGTGGGGGGCGACATTTCGGGGCGGGACCTTCCGCTGCCTAGGGCGGCAGAAAAGCTGGCGGCGCTCCTGCTGTGAGTGCAGGACAGGCCTTGTACCTTTACCCATCCCCGTGTGGAATTCCACAGCTTTCACACACTTAGACCAGACCCTGCCCTAGGTCTGCAGTGCCCTACATATTAATTGTTCTTACCCACCAGGTCCGACTGAGCTTGGTTACCTATGCTTCTTCCCAGCAGGAGTCTGTGACCAGTGGTGTTTGTATTGATCAGACCACCTTCTTCAAACAAAGTGTTACTCATTTTATCAGTAGGAACAAAGCATTTAGAGAGAAAATGATTGTAAAACAACAAACAGCCTACACAAATGTCTATCTTACCTACAGGCTAAACATCCCCTGATGGTAACCTGCACATTCCTATATTCTTCAGACACCCCAGTGGGTGTCTGTGTCTCAGCCTGGTTTCTCTGAACAACTATCATTTCTACAGAGTGCATTCCTTTTTAAACCTGCCAAAGTTCTTTTGATATCCTCTGTGTGTGGGCCTTTTCCGGTCCTGGCACTGTCTTTTAACAACCCACAAGTGTTTTCCAAGACGTGGCTTATCTTGAGGCATTCTTTTTCCTTCCTGCTTGTTTTTTTCCTAACAGCCCTCTATTTAACCGAACCAATTTATTTATACAGTAAACATCCCAATAACTAGCTCAACATAAAGTATTAATAAATTACAGAGCAGCTCCAAATCCACCTCGCTCAGCATTTCTTAGGATTTCAGCCCCAAGTCATCAGTAAGGTACTTAGGAATATGCCTAACTGTAAAAGTGAGCAATGCTATTGACTTCAATGAGACTATCCATCTGTTTAAAGTTAGGCAGATGCTTAAGTATCTTGCTAAATAAGGGTATGTCTACACAGGGATTAAAAAACCTCTGGCTGGCTTAGATCAGCTGACTTGGGCTTGGGCTCAAGCGCTGAAAAATTGCTGTGTAGATGTTGGGCTCGGGGCTGGAGCCTGAGCGCAAATGTCTACACAGCAATTTTTAGCTCCACAGCCCGAGCCCAGCGAGCTCATGTGAGTTGACATCGACCAGCCGTGTTTTTTATCCCTGTGTAGACGTGCCCTAAGGTCTTAGTCCTTAATTTACTCTGCATGATATGTAGGACATAAGCTAAATAAGAATTTTGCAATGATTTCAATGGGAGCATGACCAAGCCTTAAATCATCAAAGAGGTACATGGAGGAGGGGAGTCACAGAAAAAACTTTGCAAATTAGATTCTGCTGTCTTGGTGAATCTGTGGATGTGTTAACACATTGTTCGGGGAAGGGATCCGTGAGAGATTCCTGCTATGCTGCTTGTTATCTAAAATTGCTATTAATAGTGTATTATATTCAGAAGGGAAGCTGACATACTGTAAATG